ATATCATAATTTAGAAAGAATTTTTAAAATTAAAATTAAAATTAAAATTAAAATTATTAAAATTAAAATTAAAATTATTATTAAAATTATTATTAAAATTAAAATTATTATTATTATTACTATTAGTATTACTAGTACTGCTACTGCTACTGCTACTACTGCTACTGCTATTGCTACTGCTACTACTACTGCTACTGTTGTTGCTACTGCTACTAATACTACTGCTATTACTATTACTGCTGCTATTACTATTACTATTACTATTACTATTACTATTACTATTACTATTACTATTATTACTATTACTATTATTATTACTACTATTAGTACTACTATTACTATTACTATTACTACTATTACTACTATTATTATTATTACTATTACTATTACTACTATTATTATTACTATTACTATTACTACTGCTATTACTATTACTATTACTATTATTATTATTACTATTACTATTATTATTATTATTGCTAATATTATTACTATTACTATTATTATTACTATTAGTATTACTATTATTATTATTATTATTATTATTATTATTTTAAAAAGCTCTTTCTTCTCCTCAAAATTTTGCCTACCTTTGAAAATAATTGTACCGTGTTATTATTTTGACAGCTAAGTACTGCAATAACTCAATATTGGCTTTTTAAATTAAAAAAAAAAAGAGAATGTACCGTAATTATTTTGACAACTACATAAAAACAGGATAATTATCAATTCGAGAAAGTGGCCCATTTATAAATATTCGATATTCAATTGTTCAAGCCTCTTCTCACGTTGCTGAGGTTATTTATAGTTTTTTTTAGTGTTTTGTTAATTTTAATAAAATCGTTTTTGTTTATTTTAGGTTTATGTGTTTATAATTATAGAGGTGGTTTTTTTATATTTTTGTTTACGTGTCTGAACTAGTTATTGACGGTGTGTATTAAATTACATTTAAAATTATTTTTAGACCTTGTCGTTAATAAGAATTTAGTCTCAGTCGATTAGTTTTATTCATTGACTATAATAGTTTTCTTTTAATGAGTTTTGAACGAACTCAATTTTATTTGTACTGAACATGTCTTTTCTTATTCAATCTCAATACTTGTATTTATTTTTGTGCTTCATATATTATTATTGGTAGATTTAATTTATGTGTATGGTCGAATTTTGTTGTAGTTGATGGTTATTTAGTAAAAAAACCTTTTCTACAAAAAAAAAAAAAAAAAAAAAAATTGTCCGAGGGAATACCCAGTAAGCCAATTGTTGATTAAAAAAACCAAACAAACAAAAAAACAAAACAAAAAAAAAGGTTTGAAATTTATCTCTTTTGTCCCAATAAGTTTCAGATTAACACGTACTGCCACCAATTTCGGTCCCCAACTTTTCTCAGTATTGATATTTTATTAAGACCAAGAACGACCAAACTTTGTTAAGAATATATCAAGAATGATGAAATATTTTAAACGAAGTCGTAAACATGCTCCTAAATTCGCTTTATTGCTCTATAATTTAACATTAGTAACAGTTGCGTGATATAATCATTACAAGAATACTCAACAAAATAGAGAATGACTTGAGAACAGTATAATCATTCCCTTCAAAAAGGAAAAGAAAAAAAGACCCCCGTTTCTTTAAAAAAAAAGATTAAGATAGACTGATTTTCTTGTAACTTAAGGATTAAAATAGGGAATAACTTAAGAACAGTATAAGCATTCGGTGTTATAACTAGAGATGTCAAACGTGCTGTGTTGGGCCGGCACGGCACGTTTGACCCCAGACCCGTTGCAGGCTTGGGCCGTGTCTGGCATGACCCTGCACAGTGCAAGGTCGTGCTAGAGCCAGGCCTGAGGAAAAAATCTCAGGCCCGCGGTCCTAGTCCATAAGGGCTAGGCCCGAGCCTAGGCCCAAGCCCTTGTAATTTTTTTTTTCTAAAATTTAATTAAAAAAGAAAGAAAATATGTCGTATACCCCTAAAAGATGTGATTTTATTGAATTGAGATAATACGAATAAATACACATAAATGTCTGCCTCGTTAAAAACCTTGCCAAGTAAAACCCGTGGGGAGATCGGGACAAAACCTTAGTGAAGGAAAAAAGAGTGCAGTAGGAATAGTAAATTACAAACCTAAGTGCTTCCAGAAGATTATGTTATTTCTAAGTTAGAAAAATAGTCTTGCATTAAATCGTCCGTGTATTGTTGTTTTCGTCTTCTGACATCTTCTCAGTCTTTAACGCACATTAGCCCCTCCAAGATATCTGGATGCATTATGCTTCTCATCTCGTCAAGAATTCAGTTACTTGCACGAAATGCTTGATTTGATGCTACCATTAACATTAGAGTTGTCAAAATGTCACGAGCTATTACAGACAGTGTTGGAAAACGATCTGTCTTGCTCTTCCACCACCGTAAGATGTCTAGTTTGTCATCATCGATTACAAAATTTGCTTCAAGATATTTTACCAGTTCGGTAGATGCTTGTGTTGATGACGATCTTGCTGTTTTCTTTTTCTTCTTCAAGAAACTCCACCACGATCCTTTAGGCCCCGAACTGCTAGTTGACGTCGAAGTTCCCTGTTCTTTTTTACATGTGTTGTATTTTGCTTCATACAAACTAAATACATTTTCTAACATTTTCTTAGCGTCAGTCATAGTTAGTTGCATATCAATTCTTAAATTTTCTACTGTAGCAGTCATCAAAGATTCAGTTTCATCTACTCCGCACCTAGGATCTAAAATGGTTGCTAATGCATATAACATAGGACAACCTGACCAATAATTTTAAAATTTAGTTTCAATTAGCTTAACTACGTCTCTAAAAAGTACTGTATCCTTATAATAAGAAAATGTTTCTAAAATATTAAATAGTGGATGAAAAGCTAAATGTGCAGTAGGATAATAAACTCCAAAAAGTAATTCAGTTGCATTGTAAAAAACTTCTAGGAATTTAAAAAAGTACTCACCAATTTGCCAACCTGTATCGAAAATTAAAAGTTGATCATTTTTACTATTTACATACGTTGTGATGAGCTCTAAATATGGGAGTGCAACCTTCAACATTAAATAGGTGAAATTCTACCCATGTCTCACGTCAGTTGGGAACTTTCTTAGGCGCATCTGACTGTTCCTGCAGTATTGTTTGAATTCTTGGAGACGAGTTTCAAAACTAGATATGAAGGATAAAGATTCTCTAATATTTGTTAGATTAGCTGAAATATGTTCAATTCCTACCTGAACTACTAAATTGATTACGTGACACGCACACCATTGATTAAAAATTTCCCCCCAAATGCTAGTTTCAAACTATGTTTAAACATGTTAATTGCAGCCGTGTTAGTTGACGCATTATCAAAAGTAATAGTTAAAACTTTATCTTCTATCCCATAAAACCTAAAAATTTCCATTATTGTACTAAAAATAAATGATGCGTTATGAGGATATGGACATAAAAAAAAAACCTATTATTCTTTTTTGTAAAACCCATTCGTCATCAACATAATGCGCCGTGACGCATAAATATCCAGTTTTATTGCACCCCTCCAATAGATCAGAAGTACAAGATACTGTAGCATTAAAAGTCCTAAAATTATCAACAAGAGATTGTCTCATTGCATAAATTATTTTTATGCAATCAGAATGAGTTGTGTTTTTACTTACCCGTTTAAAATATGGGCAGAAGGCTGTCTGTATGAATTCTTTGAACGACGTATCATCTGCAAAAGAAAGAGACAATTCGACACTAGCTAGAAATTTAGCTAGTGCCTCACGAGCACGTTGTACATCGTATGTAAAATTTTGCAACCCATGTGATGTGAGTGATAGTGTTTATTGGTGGGAATCCACACTCCCACCTTGGTGCAATGGTAGACATACTTTTTAATGTCTATCCAGATGACCAGTACCCCCACCATTTTTATTAGAAAAGGTTTTCTACAATACTTACATACCGCACAAATTTTTATTTCACCTATTTTTAGATTTGATCAGGGCTCCTCTGTGAAATGTTGCCATGCAGGAGAAGTTCGCGGTCTTTTCCCCTGGTGCGTTCTCCAACTTCCTCCCTGTGCACTGAAGCATTATTTACCGGGGCATTTTCTGGTTCAGTGGGGTTGGGAGGCATCATTTCATCCTCAAAAAATGGCTCATCACCAAGCTCATGAAGAGTAGTAAAATCAGGAAAGTTTGATGTGGCCATTTTCTGGAAATTGATTGAACTTAAACTTTGTAAATAAAAGAGCAAGAAAATGAGTAATCATGAGAAAAAAGCTTAGAATCAAAATCAAAGAGACAAGATGAGACATAGAATGAGAGTGAGATGAGAAGTTGAGAGTGAATTGTTGTGTGGGATTTAGGGCGAAATTAATGGGTATTTATAGGGGATTTTTTTAGGGGATTTTCGGATTGTGATCGTTGGGCCCTTCGCGGGCCCAACGGTCGGCCCGTGACGGGCCAAACAGGAGGCCCGTTATAGTCCTAACGGGAGGCCCGTCATATGCCTAATGGGAGGCCCGTCATGGGCCGACCGTTGGGTCCGCGAAGGGCCCAACGATCACAATTTGAACGGGCTTTAGGATGTTTCGCGGGCCTGGGCTGGGCCGAACAGGGGTCGAATCCAGGCGTGGGCCGAACTAGGCTTAGGCCGGGCTGCAGGCCTTCACGGGCTTGGGCCGCGGACTGAGAAGCCAAGGCTTAGCCCTAGCCCATCAAACATGCCGGGCCAGCACGGCGCGTAACAGTACTGTACCAGGTCGTGCCGAATCTAGCACTGTTACGGGCTGGGCCGGGCCGTCCATAGATGGCCCGGCCCATTTGACAACCTAATTATAACAATTAACAGCAGCAACCGCTGCCACCGCCGCCGACTAAGTGTTGTACATTTTGTTTGAAAAATTTTCCAAGATTCTAAATATGAAAAATATGAAGTAGCTATGGGAAAAAAAAAACCGAGACGACATATTTATATTAAATTAAAACTATATAAGAATGATGATAAATATTTTGCGGCCTAATAATGTTTTAATTACACCATAAAACTAATCGATGATATAAAATGAATCTTTTAATTACACCATAAACTAATCGATGATGATATATAGAAACTAGAGTGTATCTAATCTGTGTAGACCATTCCTTGGAATTGACGTTCTATTTAATGTGTGATTTTGAACACATATTTGCCCGTATTATTTTTCTTTTTCTTACAGACGACAGGTAGGGAAGAATAGTAATATTTTCATTATCCAAACAATTTGACGTAACGTAAAAACAAGACATTTATCACCCAAAAAGTCGCCACGACATCACACCCGGCTCCGCCTAGCGCCGGCGGGGCCCATGGCTTTGGCAATCTCTCTAAGCACGAACTTCTGAATCTTGCCAGTGGACGTCTTCGGCAGCTCAGCCTTAAACACCACCGTCTTCGGCACCATGTAGTGCGGCAGCTTACTCCTGCAGTAGTCCATGATCTCCTTCTCCGTCGGCCTCTTCTCCGCCGCTGGTGACTCTTTCAAGCTCACGAAGGCGCACGGCGTCTCTCCCCAGAACTCGTCGGGCCTCGCCACCACCGCCGCCTCATAAACACCCGGAAACCCGTAAATCACCGACTCCACCTCCACGCTGCTGATATTCTCCCCGCCGCTTATGATCACATCCTTGGACCGGTCCTTAATCTCCAAATACCCGTCGGAGTGCATAACTCCGACGTCTCCGGTGTAAAACCAGTCTCCGGCCATGCACTTGGCCGTGCCTTCCGGATCCTTCAGATACCCCAGCATCACCGACCCGCCTCTCAGAACAACCTCCCCGAGGGTATTCCCGTCATTTCGCACTTCCGCTCCGGTCTCCGGGTTCACCACCGCGAGCTTAGTGAGCCCCACCGTCCCCACCCCTTGTCTCGCCTTCAGCCTCGCTTGCTCCGTCGCCGGTAGCCGGTTCCAGTGTCGTTTCCACGCACACGAAACCACTAACCCCGCCGTTTCGGTCAGCCCGTACCCGTGACTGACAACGAAACCCAGTGTCTCCGTCCGGAAGAGAATCGCTGCCGGCGGAGGAGCCCCGGCGGTGAGAATCTGGACCGGATTCTTCAGCTGGTCTTTAGCACCGTTGGATATCATGTTGAGCACGACTGGTGCTCCGCATAAGTGAGTGACATCATGCTTTCTGATCATGTCGTAGATCGTCGGCGCGTCGAATTTGCGGAGGCAGATGTTGGTGCCTCCCACGGCTGCCATCCCCCACGGGAAGCTCCACCCGTTAGCGTGGAACATCGGGAGAGTCCAGAGGTACACCGGCTGCTTCGGGACTCCCCAGTCGATGAGCGAATCAACTGTCATGATGAAAATTCCCCTGTGGCAGTGCACGACTCCCTTCGGAGATGACGTCGTTCCGGACGTGTAGTTCAGCACTATCGGATCCCACTCGCTCTGCGGCCGGACCCACTCGAAGCTCGGATCGCCTCTCTCCACCAACTCCTCATAGAAAATCAGATTTTGATGATCATGAATTTTATCATCAACATCATCAGGACCGTCGGTTATGAGGACCAGGAGAGGGATCGGGGTTTGGGAAGGGAACAAGGAGAGCGCGTCGAGAAGGAGGGCGCGTGAGAGGTGGTCGACGAAGACGAGCTTTGATTCGCTGTGACGGAGGAGGACGGAGATGGTGCGGGCGTCGAGGCGGGTGTTGACGGCGTTAAGGACGGCGCCAGCCATGGGGACGGCGAAGTGGAGCTCGTACATGTGGGGAAGGTTTGGGGCGAGGACGGAGACGACGTGGCCAGGCTTGATGCCGAGAGATGCGATGGAGGAGGCCAAGCGGAGACATCGACGGTGGGTTTGGGACCAGGTGTAGGTGGTGTCGTTGTAGACGATAGAAGCGCAGTCGCCGTACACGGTGGCTGCTCTTTCTAGAAAGCCAAGGGGAGTAAGTGGAGATGAGTTCGCTGCTCTTGGCTTTAACTCTTCCATGATCGATGATGCTCTTGACTTGATGGATTTTGTGAGGTTCTTGGCGTCGCGGAGGGAAGGGAGATGAAAATTGGGTTTTGTTTTTCTAAAGATGTGTGGAGATGAGATTCGTTTGTTGTCAGAAGCCTTGATTTGACCTTTACATATTCTAAAATATACTTGTGATGATATCTATATTTTATGGAGTAATCTTATACCTGACTCACTGGTGGGGCCACTCTCTACGTGAGTGTTTATAGAAATTCCGATCGGGGATTAAAAAAACACATTTTTGTATTTATTAGGGCTTGTGGTTATCTATATCTACGATTATGTGATGAAATTATCACAACACCCCCATATTTAAGGGACATCATTGACTACAAATATTATACTAGTGTTTTTATTGTACTTTGAATAGTTCTAAAAAATTCCGTCTGTGTCCCTCCACTTTTACTTTTACCGTTTCACCGTCGGACTTCATTTGTTCTTTGTTTGGACGTTTTGGTCATTTCCCGTCTGCTTGCTTTTTTATTTATTTTATTTTATACGTTTTCTTGTCTTGCTTACACGTAGTGAGTGAATATTCCGTCTGTGTCCCTCCACTTTTACTTTTACTGTTTCACCGTCGGACTTCATTTGTTCTTTGTTTGGACGTTTTGGTCATTTCCCGTCTGCTTGCTTTTTTTTTTTTATTTTATTTTATACGTTTTCTTGTCTTGCTTACACGTAGTGAGTGAATTCCACCCAATTGGATTTTGGCCACGTGTTATTTTTTGATGGCCTGGAACTATGAATTTGGTCCAAGTGAGCAACAAACATTGCAATTTTTTTTTTTTTAAATAGAATAAATTCCAATTTTCACATGAATGAAGATGTGCATATACCTCACACTAATTATGTCGAGTATCTTCATGCTTTTTACATGCAAATAGTTCGCCATTATTCTCCCTTTCTTTTCTTTAATTTTATTTTTTTTCTTCCCTTTCCTTTTGTGTTTGAAAAAGGTTTTTTTATTTTTTGCTGTTTATTCATGTACGCATGTAAATTACAAAATTATATTCCTTATATCTTAGGTGTTTATGTAGATATGAATTTTATTTGTCTTATGTTTTTTATTTCTATTTTTTCCTTCATTATGTAACTTCTTTTGTCCATATTAATTAGATTATTTTTTATATGTTTTTTTAAGAATGAATTTGTATTATCCGTTCATTTATTGGACAATAAAAGAAAAATAGAAAAGCATTTTTTTAAGGAAAATAGAAAACCACTTTTCTGTGTATAAAATAAGGAATTTATGAATTGATTGCTGATATGAAAGAAATTTTAAGCTGTCATTTAACACAATTTTTTAAAAACACATAAAAATCGCAACCGAGAATACATTACTTTTTGTTTCTTTTAATTTTAGACAAAAAATGGATGATTCTTTTCATTATGTTTGCATTATGAAACATGTCTTTAACAATTAAACCTCCAATATCTATGTAATTTTAACACATTCTATTAGTCACATATGAAAAATATCGCTTGCCATTGTTAAGAGAAAAAAAAAGAGAGAACCTCTTTGTTTTATTGTGGAAATTTTTCCTGTGTTTGTTTCATTTGTTTCTTATTTAAAATATAAAATAAAATAACCCATATATTATTTTTTTGTTCTATATAATGGAACATGATTAACTTACTGATATTTTCAACTAAATATTATATTAAAGCAGAAATAGCCACTACGATATTATATAGGAAGAAAGTATTTTTTACCTAAAATTTCATTTATACTAATTTAATAAAAAAAAATTCATTTCCATTCAATGTATATGCAAAAAATATTATCACTAACAAATTCCAACTCATGAAAAAAATTTTCAATCCATTTAATGCAGCAAAACTTAAAAGAAATATAATAAGCAACGACTAAATAAGTATGAAAGTAAGTATATCTTATTTACTGAGTATGTAAATAAATCGAATTGAAAACTTCCCTTAATACGTGGATTATGGCTTTCAACTTGCTGCAACCATTATCTTTGGAAAATAAATCATGGTCTGTAAAACAATATGTATATTAACGGCTATGTGCCATTGGCACGTACCAGACGCTAGTAAATATCTATTTTACGTTAATATCCTCGAGCATTTTGAGAAAATTATAGCAGTACCTCTTCCGTTAGTGATCAACACAACCATTGCCATTCCATACTCTTTGAAATTCTCTCGCTTTCTCATTGAATTCTCTTCGTAATGGATTTTCTCAATTTTGTTAATTATTTAACAAAATAGTCTTAACAATCGCATCTTAATTGACGACTTATTATAGTAATAAAAAAAAAAAAAAGACTCGAGAACAAAGAATGTTGACAAGATTTGGTCAAATATATATTTCTCTAATATCACTGGATCAATACAAGGGATATTTCTCTAAACATCTCTAAAATAATTAAATAAGATAACAATTTTTTTTAATGCAGTTGAAAGTTGTGAATGATGACGAGTGAGAGCAGTCCAATTAGTTGTAAGCCCTAATTATAAGTTGAAAATTCGAGTTACCTGAACCCCACTTTAAAGTGGTGGCATTCTCCCTTACTTTGTATAAGAAAAAAAAAAGTTGTGAATGGTGATGAGCATCCAGCTTAGATATCATGATGTAGCACTTGTGGTCATAATTATTCAAAGGGGTGTAATATTCTGCATTAGAGATGCTCTTAGATTAAAATCCTGAGTTTCTTTAGTGTGAAAGAGAAAAAAAAGTATGCAAAGTTGTCAATTTTCATTGATAATTTGTATTAGAGATGCTCCTAAATTCTAGGTTTTTTTTTTTAAAAAATTGTCCTAGATTTAAACTAATATAATTTTAAACTATTATAAGCGTCAAATGATTAATCAAATTCAGTGTATGCATGCCCATGTTTTTCTTATTTTGTTTTTTCTAACAATATATAACGTTTCCCACATTGTAGTTATTTTTTTTTCTTCAAACGAGTAAATATTTTGCTTTTTTATTCAACATAACTTTTAACATATTACAATTAGCTAGGTATCATGAATACATATTTTATCCTTATTAAACGCAGTACGCCCAGATGGACAAACCTAACACAGAATCAATTTTTTTAGATGAAGAAAAACAATGGTTTTTATTTATTGTATATAATATATACACACAGACATAATCACACACACACACACACACACACACACACACACATATATATATATATATATATAAGATATGGAAGTGGAATTTATCTTTTTGTTTAGGGGGTATTTCCTAGGTTGTACTGTGTTATGGTTGCTGTGGACTTGTCCTTTTCCTAACACAATCTATTTTTAGATGAAGAAAAACTATGGTTTTTATTTATTATATATAATACACACATATATAAGATACGGGAGTGGATATTTTTCCAGGTTGTACTTTGTTATGGTTGTTGTGGACTTGTCGTTTTTCTAAAAAATAAGTATTGAGAAATTCTACTTTTTTTTTTGTAGTTTATATATAGAAGGTTTCATTAACTTAAGGTAGCTAAAAAAGGGAGTAGAATTTCTCATTTTAGATGGTTTTCTAATACGTTGTACTATGTTATGGTTGTTATGGACTTGTCGTTTCCCTAAAAATAAGTTTTTGGGAAATTTTACATTTGTAACATATAGAAGGTGTCATAAACTTAGTAAATAGACAAATTATTTTAGTTAGTTAGTAAATAACATATTCTTAATTATAATATTTTAATGTTTTGAAATATACATACACTTAGAGTTTTCTTTTTCCTTTCTTTCTTCCTAGAGTTTTCTTTTCCCCTTCTCTTCTTTACACCGCCTCTATTGTAGTTTTCAAATGGCCGAAGTGTCCGACGCTGCCCTTAGGTGGTGCTCTGGACTCCTAGCCGTGGGAGGGTGTCTATGTTGGGAATGGTGTCCTAGAAGCATGAGATGTAATATGATATTTATTATTTATTTAATAAAGGAGTTTATTCTTTATTTTATGTGCATATATTTATGAATATTTTATGAATATCAATGAAAATTCCATGATTATTTATGTAACCTTAAACATTGTATATAAGTGTTATATACGAGAGGATAATGTTTAAGGATAATAATCAAAAAGCAATGTTCATAATGAATTTAATTAAAGTTTGGAATCTTTAATTAAAACATTATTAATACATGTCATTCCCATTTAGAATAGAACGATGTTATCCGCACTGTTGATATGACGAGATATTGAATGAGTGTATTTCGCATAATGAGATTATGTGGAACAAGGACACAGACACAATATGAATTTCTAATAATTTCCGTTAAGTATAGAAATTCTAATTGAGTCTACCGATGGTCATATATAGAATGATCTTAATCCTGAGTTCTTAACAAACTCCTATTTATGAATTTGTGTCTTTTGATTTACTCGGTACGGATTTTGAGATCCTGAATCATATTCCTTGTATTTTGGAAACATGATGAAGTAGGTAGCCGGGAATGTTATTACACAAGATGGAATCCATTCCTTCTT